GTTTATCTTCATGGATATGAGATTGCAACTTTTCATGTTCATATATTTATTTACTAGAGAACAGGCATCCCCAAAAAATGATCGTCTAGGTGCAGCATATATATGAAATTGCAATTGCAATATTCTAATTTCACAAACCTGGCCACTTGTCCTGACTCTTCAAATTTATGCTGCTAACTGAAATATTACTTATTGTACTATGCATAAAATCCTTGAATAAACTTAGTAATAACAGAATGAGAGAAACAAGAATGTGCATTGCTCATGTCAAAGAAAGGCACAAGAGAAGTACCTGGAGTATAGAAGCTCGTGTAAGGTAAGATAGCATAGTAGTTCCCTCCTTCGCCTACCTTCTTGACTTCTCTTGACTTGAGATCGAGTGCAAAGAGTCCCACACTTGATACGCTGATGAAAATAGTATTTGTTCCTTCCAGCAAGCCAACCACTTCATATGGGTAGAATGGGTCACTTGTTGGGATAAGTGTCTCGAGTTCCATAAACATGCGGTGTGCCGGCTCACCAATGCTATTATTAGTATCGACTTACCACGACCACTTTAGATGCAATTATCCTTTTCCACGGAAACAAATCCTAGTTCTCCACCATCTACCTCCATGGCCATGGCCATGGTCTCATACTCTAACCCTCCGGGTGACGCAATCAGAGAAAGCACATGTGCACCCAAGTCGAACTTGAGGATGTCACCATCGTGAGAGTAAGAGCTGAAGTACAACGTGTCTCCGATAAGAAGACTAGGTGTTGGCACAAGGCTGCAAGGTCACCAATGGAGATGGAGGGGCTCCACAGCCCGGTCTCCGAAGAGTAGATGGCCACCCATGTCTTAGAATCATCGTCTGACCCTGCAACTGCCACGAGGAACGGACCATTGTGGCAGTTGAGGTGGTCGCAGCCATCCACGGCGCACAGCACAGCCTTAGCTAAAGACTAACTTGTCAGCACATGGTTCTTGCTAAACAAATTACATTTTGGCTCTGAGAAAACTGTAGGCATAAATTACACGACCTTTGAATGGCACACAATCTCATACCTACAGATTGTTTAAAGCATCCGTTGATAATTCTATCAATCTCACTATTAATATTTTACTCATGGTATGATTAAATTTGCCTTTAAACTCTTTTTTTTCTCAATCACGCAAAAGATTTGCGTGTTTTTGTATTAAGTAGAAGAATAGTTTGTTACATCTCGGGTGGTTTACAAGATTAACACTGAGCGCACCCACCCTGCTCAGCTTCTTCTCTAACCTATTACTCGCTGAATTAAACAACCTAGGTGCTTCGCTTTTGACCTGGACCCATAGCTCTGCCTGAAGTTTGATGGTTGCCTTGATCGCCGGAATCTGTGTGGCTGCTCCGCGGAAACAACGCGCATTACGTTCTTTCCAGATTTCCCAAGCGATTAGCGCGAACATGGAGTCTGCGCCTCTTGCAAATGACGCTGGCCAAAGAGCTCTCCAGGTCTGCCACCAGTCGACAATGGCGCCGGCTGGTTGCTCGGTCAGAGTTGCCCCAAGCGCCGTGGCTGCCTCGAACCACAACTGCCTGGCGAAGGAACATTCGACGATGATGTGATCAATGGTTTCCGGTTCCTGATCGCTTTGGAAAGCAGGTTGCCACAAAAGACACAGATGAGTAAAACTTGGGCAAACCTTAGAAATAAAAATTGGAACTGAATGAAAGATTAAATGTTCCCAAAGATGAGAAGTGAGCTTGTGTCAACCAAGAAGCTACTGAGCAACGCACAAAAATAAATCTGGCATAAATCTTGGTCTAAAATAACAAAAGTAGTGCAAATAAAGAAGAGATATGCTACTCTTGATCGTGATATCTAGGTACAAACTGGTACTTCAACGACAGACCATAAAAAAGGCTCCTTTTTACTTATAAACTACCTAACTGGATACAAGGTAGACCAAACAATCTTGATGCCCAACTAACTGACCATGACTAACTGTCCAACTGAGATAAAATAATTTAGTCGTTAGCAGGATTCATAGTAGTGGATCAATCTTTGCATCTTTTTGGAGGTGATGGCGTGTTCCCTTAGCAAGATCTGGAAGATAAAACCATGTTACAGTTCAGTTTTACACATATCTACCTTTGAATGAATAGAAAAACAGGTATGTACTTGTGCATCAGATTGGTCTTAAATTTGAGAACATAGTATAAGTTCTTGTTTATCTATCCAATTTCGAGAGACAACTTGAACCGAATAGGAAAAATAGTTTATCTTCAAGGATACGAGATTGCAAGTTTTCATGTTCATATATTTATTTACTTGAGAACAAAGATCCCCCCAAAAAATGATCATCTAGGTGCATATGAAATTGCAATATTCTAAATTCACAACCAGGGCCACTGATCTTGACACTTAAAGTTATGTTGCTAATTGTGCTACTTTTGTACTATGGCTCAAATCCTTTGATAAACTTATTAGAAATAACATGATGAGAAAAATAAGAATGTACAATGTGCTCATGTTAAAGAAATGCACAACAATAGTACCTGGAGTATAGAAGCTCGTGTAAGGTAAGATGGCATAGTAGGGCCCAAGTTATAGAAGCTCCCAGGAAAGAGCACCTGCATGCATCCCGCCTCATAGGTGACAGCGTGGAGTTTCTGAAGAATTTTGCATGAACAGTTTGAATTTTGTAGAGTCTAGAAAAAAATCAATTTATTTTAAATGGGTTTTACCTATTATTACTTCTTTTCTAAATTATAAGTTTTTTTTGTTTTTATAGGTATATAGTTTTTGGTACGCACGTGTTGGAGTTAAATGCATAATGCAGAGCCGCATAAAAGCAGAGCATTCCAGAAATTTTGGAACTGGACACACTGAACTCTGAACAAATAGCACTTGAACGTAGATATGCAGACTGGCCACGAAGATGCATCTCCTTGCACGTGTCAGGCGAGACACGAACTTGCCTCGCTTGCTGATGAACTTCTCAACAATTCAAGTTTACAAGTTGTACATGCAAGTGCCTCTCAAATTAAAGCAGCAGATCAGTTGCCCTGCTTCCGGTTCTTCCGGTCGCCTGCCGTTGTTCACTTTGTTGAAGAATCAGAACCGTTGCTCAAAGCAGCCATCTACCAAGTAGTTAAAGATGCAGCTCTTGGCATCACTTCAGCAGCTTTCTGCGCACAACCTGCTCTTGATGCAGATCGTCCTCGTGATCTCATCTATAGAAATCTTGGGTTCGACATTGCTCGCAATGGGTTTTCAGCTCCTGCCTGAACAGTTCAGAGTTCAGACTTCAGAGATGTCATTATTACATAGCACCACGATAAATCTTTTTCACCACTAAAACTGTACAAGGCTCATGAAGCAAAACAAGCCACCAACATTAGTATAGTCGATTCACATTGCAAAAGTCAAGCTTACCTTCTTTTCATCCAGTCACATATTATTACGCATGCTGTTGCTGGTCTGGAGCCTGAACCTGAAGAAAGCTCTGAACCTGAACCTGAAGCAGGCCGCGCGCCTCTGTAGCCCATCCGACAACGAAGCCTTCGCGCGACAACCAGCCCAGGAGTAGCATTCGCGCAAGACGGCCAAGTACACGTGTATCTGGGCCACAGTGGACTTGAGTCCTAGGCGTAGAGGCAGCTGTCCTAGGCTGAAGCCGATTGCATAAAAGAGAGGAAACGTGAGGAAGCAGGCAACTATGCCATAGCTGAATTCAACACTGCTAAGTTGTCATCGCTATTCTGCTCTCTCTACCTTTCCCTTTCTTCCACTGCTTCCGATCTCGTATCCTTACACATATTCTAGTAAGCAACTCAATTTCACCTTGAAGCTCCTTGGGCAAAAGATGCATTAGCATTTCTAAAAGCCAATAAGCATCCACTAAATCCTCATGCCCCACTTTTGTTTAAATTATTCTTTGCTTATATATAGACCTTATGAGTTATGAGCAAGCTGGCATACTGAAAGCCTTAATCTGAACAAAAAGTCAAGCATTTGTAGTTCCATGTGTGTGCATGAGAGGCTAAAACCCAAAATTACTGCTGGGAAACTTGGGCTCAAGGAATCATAGCATTTTAACTTCGAGTTTTAGGCCTGAAAAATGCTTAAATTGGTAGAGAAACAACCTAGTTCTGCAGAACAATAGACAAGACAAAAGAATTTAGCTAATGATCATTCCGTGTGACTCATGTATTGCTAAAAAAGAATCCCAAAATTTCATGTGAAACACACTCACAGTGAAGGCGATAGCATGACAACCACCACAACAAACAAAAACCGCTATACCCCAAAAGCACCGGCAGACAAACACAACCAAGCATGTTGTAGAGAACAGGCAAAAAGCTTGGTGAAAGGGGGTTTTTTTCCTCAAAAGTGATTCCTCTAATTCTAATGAGGAAAACATTTACAAATCCGCAAACGCCAAGTAGAGAACCAAGATTTTTTACAACAATGCATCCAACTAGGAGCGTGCCGTCAATGGCATCACCATTGTCAGTCGCGACAGGAACTAGATAGGGCATTCACCAGAAAATCTCCCACCTCCTAAACCCTCATGCCCAAGCACATTGGCCACTATTGTAACACCGAACATGCCATCGCCATGCAATACAAGCCATCGTGACAACTAACGCATCAAACTGCTGCCAGCAGGAGATCGTGGCTACACAAATAATGTCACAGGCACACGTGACATGTCGACACTGTGCTGGCCCAAAAGGGCCGCTACCAACCCACTTAGCTCTGGCCACCGCATTATGGTACTACAGGAGGGCAAGAAGTAGCAGCAACACAGCTGCACACGCCTCCATCCAACAAGCTTCTAGATATGCCAAGAGCATCCCTATGCAGGTTGTCTATGCAATACCTGCCTTCCATTGGTTGTCACTACGGCAAGCTAGCAACAGGCATGCATAGCCAATCACCACTGATCCAGACCATGCGGACCATAGCCAACCAAACAGACTCCAACACATCACAAATCCAGACCATGCGTGCCAGGTCCTCCTTGTCTACGGGCTTGCCCCGGCACTCCACACCCAGGGCGGCGTGAGGTTGCACGGCTCCATGGACACGGCCCGCCGGCACGGCGGCTCGGGAACCTTGTGGCCATACGCTGTCTGGTTGTGCGCCAAGTTGTCTGTCGCCTGCCGCTCCTCGTGCGACGGCTGGAACACGGCCACCGTCTCGCCGCCCTTCGCCGCGTGCTCATAGTACCTCGACCTCAACCTCTCGTAGTAGTCCGCGTAGAGAGACGCCACCAAGATGGCCGTGGAGTTGGAGCCATCGCCATTGTCGTCGCTCCTCGTTGCCAGCACACCATTGTCACTAGCGCCGCCGCCGCCGCCGGTGTCCGGCAGTATGTGCGCCTGTCGCGAGCACGCGAGGATCTGGGCGTACATGTCGTCGGCGGGGATGGAGCCGTAGCTGAACATCCTGATCTGCACACCGATCCTCCGCTTCACCGAAGCCAGGTACGATCGGTAGTACCTGGTGGTCAGACTCCACACGGGGTTGGTCGGGTGGAAGAGGTACCGGGACAGGAGGTGGCTCACGCTCTCCTTTGCCGGGAACAGTCGCCGGAGCTCGTCCTGGAACTCGGCCACCGCGTACGGAGACTGCGCGAAGTAGAGGTCGCTGTACAGCAGCAGCCAGTTGACCTTGGCAAGCACGAGCTGGTGCTCACCGCAGAAGAAGAGCGGGTCCTTGAGCTGCCACCCCATGCTCAGGTACACGTACGCCGGCACGCCCGCCGTCGCGTTCGCGTCCGGGCCGACCACCTTGGCGTAGAGGAGCCTCGTGTACGACTTCTCAATGTGCTGCCCCGCGGGACCAGGTCTTCGATGGGGAAGTCGTGGTCCACCGGGAGCCGCCACGTCGTGCCCGGGAACGGCTCGCAGAAGAGGTCAGCCGAGTCCGGCGGCAAGGCGGCGAGGAAGATGCGGTCGGTGAGCAGCGCGCGCGTAGAGGAAGCCGCTCACCATGGACAGCATGCGGTTGCCGAGGCCGTCGAAGGGGAGCCACACGACGTAGGTGCACTCCATGCCGTCGGCGCTGCGGCCGGACCGGAGCTGCTCCAAGGACTTGGCGTAGAGCGGCGTGCCGGGGGCGCACCGGCGGTGCCGAGCTTCGTAGGCGCGCAGCTTGCGCTGGAGGTACGGCGACGCCGCGTGCGGGAAGTACTTGTAGTACAGCCACGACTCGTACCGGCTCCGGCGACCGCCGGTCCATGCCCGCCGGCAGAAGCCCGCCGAGGAGGTCGTCACGACCATGAGGAGCGTTCGTCGTAAGCCCTGGAGGCAGGTGACATAGCTTAGTTTTGTCGATATGCAACAGTGCTCACATGCATACGAGGGACGACCGTACTTACCTGCTGTTCCATTGTTCATGCCTGTGAGCTTGGCGACGTCGATCTGCAGCCTGGCCACTGACGACGCGCTATCCGCTGCTGGAAAACCGAGATTTGCCTAGTGTTTAATGGTTTGCCTAGTGCCAATCGTCGGACACTAGGCAAAAGAGCTTGTTTGCCGAGTGTTGAACCCGGAGCACTCGGCAAAATAAAGGCACTAGGCAAAATAACGATTTGCCGAGTGTCGACACTAGGCAAAGAAATCCACTTGGTAAATGACCATTTTGCCTAGTGTCAATACTAGGCATACCATCACACTCGGCAAAGGCTGCCGGAGGGCAACCGCCGTTACCATTTTACCGAGTGTCTTCCGTTAACACTCGGCAAAATTAGAACTTTGCCTAGTATCTCCGGACGACACTAGGCAAACTAGCCAGTTTGCTAGTGTCTTACAGAGACACTAGGCACAATATTTTTTCTTTTTTTGATTTTAGCTTCCAATTTTTTTCTGTAGCTTTCCTACTATACCTTGACCAACATGTTGAAAGTTGGCACAATTTTATGAAATTTTGCTATATTTCTTTAGTTTATTTAATTTCTTTGAATTTTTTAGACAAATGCAAATTTGAGCGCAAGTGTGTGAATAATGGCAATTCATGAATGCAAAATGATATTCATGTTAGTAAATCTGTTAGTTGAGGCCATATCAAGCAGACCAAAATTTCACACATCTTCACAAGTTTCATGACCACGAACTTGCGAGCAAAAGAATAGAAATTCATGAAACTTTTGACAAGTCAAGATATCGCATCTCGACGTGCCATGATAAAAATTTATTAAGATTTGAGCACATGCGTCACAACTAATTACTAATCATGAATAACATTTTCTGCATCTCATGAATTGCCATTATTCATGTGGACTGTTAAATTTGCATTTGTCGAAAAAAATTCAAAGAAATTAAATAAAGTAAAGAAATATAGCAAAATTTCATAAAATTGTGCCAACTTTCAACATGTAGTCTCATTTTATGTAGGGAGGCTCGATAAAAAGTTTGAAGACCAAAATTGAAAAAAAATAAATAAGTTTGCCTAGTGTGCCAGCTAGACACTAGGCAAACTGGCCTCTTTGCCTAGTGTCTCATGGAAGACACTAGGCAAACTTATTTTTTATAGTGTTTGCCTAGTGTTGGGTTATCGACACTCGGCAAAGTTAATTTTCAGTTTATATTGTTTGAGTGTTTTTTTATTTAATTTTTTTTTCATAGTTCAAAAACATTCATATTTGCCCAGTGTCAGATCTAGGACATTAGGCAAATCAGTAGAAGACCCGTACTACTTGACCTGGTCAGTACTACCGGTAGAAGACTGGTACTACCGCTAGGCCAAAAACCAGCACAACTGTGAAGACCTGTAGTACCGATAAACTTCCGGTACTACCGTTCAGGCCGGTACTACCGGTAAGTCAAAAACTGGCTCAGTTGTGAAGACCTGTAGTACCCCGATGTACAGCCGGTACTACCGGTGTATTGCCCAAAAAAAATTGAGAGGGCAGGCCCAACCAGCCCTTTCCTGGCCCAAGCCCCCGCCCTCTCACACACCCACCATATGGCCCCACACATCAGCACCTCTTCCACACATAATACACCACCAGCAGCCATCCTCTCTCTCCATCTCTCTCATTCACGTTGGCAACCAGAGAAGAGAGAGGAGAAAGGAGAGGAGAAGGGAGAAGAGAAGAGGAAGATGAAGAGGAAGAGGAGGACGCCCCTCCCACTGCTGCAGCTCGCCGGAGGAGCTCTACCACGCCACCACCTCGCTGAAGCTGGGGAAGATAAAGCCCCATGGTCATCTTCAACTTCAAGACAAGGAGAAGCTTTCCCATGGTCGATCTCTGTCCTTGAGCAACTCCAAGCCAAACTGCTGCACCTAGAGGTCTTCCACGACATGCAAGAGGAGTAAGAAGAGGTGCATCTCCCATGTAGATCGACTTCTTCCCCACCATTTCTCGCTGCCCTAGCTTTGGGGGTAGCCAAGGTGAGGCGATTCTTCTGTTAGGTCTTCTAATTGAGGTGTTTAGATGGTTCTTGGTCATGGGGATTAGTGTTGTGTGGGGGGGGACACCATTTGGATGTCAACCTAGGGTCTGCTGCCCTGTAGCTCGAGCAGTGCTGCTGTTCGTGTGGTTTAATTGACCTAAACGATTTTTCCTCAACAAGTTGATAATAAGGAAGTTGTAGAGGACCCTCAGATCTGTTTGCCTGTGAAATTTCATGATTTTAGCATTAGTAGTTTGGGAGTTATGATTTTTCTAAGAAAGCAGCTTTTGACGAAGTCCGGACAAAACTGGATCTAGGGGTTTTTGGAGAAAACATAGAGGCATTATGGGACTCTAGAAATTATAAGAGATTTGTAGTACTTTTCATTAGCTTTCTGGATTGGTAAATATCATGATTTTATCCCATCAGGTTTGAGAGCTATGAATTTTCAAAGTTCGCTGTCAGGTTTGGACTGCATGCTGAACAGATCTGAAGTTTGGTGTTTTCTGACCATGTTAGCATCAAAACTAGCTTTTGTTGATAACTAGGGAGTTGTAGTGTTTTTCTTGAGCTTTCCAAATTATTAAAGAACAATAGTTTTGGTTGGCTAGAACTCCAGCTATGAGTTTCTGAAGTTCTCTGTCATGTTTCATCAGTAAAAGTTTCAGTTAAGGTTCGTCATGATTTTGGGCATCCTGATGACCTTTGATGCAAATTGGAATAATACCAAAGTTGTAGATAATGGATTGATCTATAATCCGGTAAAGTTTCAAGATATTTTGACATAAGGATTTCGAGATATAAAAATATTAAGTTTGCTGTCCTAATTTTCGGGCAGATAATGACTTCTGCTTTCATTTGCAGTTTATGCCTTCTTAAAGGCATGATAAAAAATAAAGTTTCTATACAAAGGTTATAGGGGTTCCTCTAACATACATGGTGTACGAGAAGTAGTGGTACAAATATGCATAGGATGGATAAATGATGATGTTGGCGGTGATTGTGTTAGTACTAGTTGTTGTTGTGTTAGTAGATGTAATTGCTTCCCTTGATATATATGTGTTTAGCGGCCATCGTGCCGTTGGTTCATTGCAGGTTTTGAGAATCTCACCGTACAGGGGAGGTGCTGCCGAAATTTTTAGACGTCTTCATTCGTTTTGTTTTTATTTGCAGGAAAAAGAAGGTGAGAAAGGAGCAGAGGCGACCCTGATCGTCTTCCTCACCGGTGTCGGTCTACCTGCACCGACCCTCCACGGCCCCGCTAGCCTGACTCCACCGCCACCTTAGGTATAACCCTTCTTTCCGTATCATGGTTGTAGGTGGCGAAGCCCAGTTAGGTGTCTCCCGTTCGAAATACATACAGTTGGAGGTATGTAAATCTTTGCATATCGATAACCGTATGTGTTTCGAATTATCCACGTTTTTTTGGACAGCCCGCGGCTACGTAGATAGATTAGTTTTCATGGTCTGCTCCTATCCGAGATAGAGTTTCGGTATCACCTCCCTGTTGTTCTCCGGATACACTCTCCTTGTCAGGACATGTATTTGGAGAACAACGGGTAGGTGCTGCCGAAATTCATTCTTAGATAGGAGTAGATCATGAAAACTAATCTCATCTACACATTCACGGGTGGGATTAGGACCTATCCTCACCTATTAGATGGTAGGAACACCGTGTAGATGCAATTGATGCTTATATTACTCGCTGATACATATGTTAGAGGATGGATGACCGTGAGTGGACGTACACGGGCCACAGAAGCAAGGTTGATTTCACCAAAGAATGGATGTGCAAAACGGATGAGTTCTTGGAGTCAGCTTTTGGCGAGGCTGGTGGCAGACCTATTAAAGCTTTGTGTCCCTGCAGCAAATGTACAAACAGAAAAAGGCAAAACAAGGTGAATGTGGGTAAACATCTAGTGAATAATGGGTTCACGCCGAACTATACCCGGTGGGTCCACCATGGTGGCGGTGTATTGATATGTATGTTCTTGACGGTCATCGTGCCGTTTGTTTTCTTGCAGGGTTTGGAAACCTCTCCGTGCAGGGGAGGTTCTGCCGAAATTTTTTATTGACGGTATCATTTTCATTTTTTTCAGCATCAATCGGGCATGGCATCGAATCAAATTGGAGGGTCGCCGGCTTCACAGATTGGAGTGTCGCCGGCACCACAGCTTGAGCCGAATCAAGTGGAAGGGTCGCCGGCTTCACAGATTGGAGCGTCGCCGGCACCACAGCTTGAGCCGAATCAAGTGGAAGGGTCGCCTGGAGCATCAAACCACGGGCCTCTTCACCCTTGACAATCGTCGTAATCAGCTTGTTGTGAACTTTGTTAAGAAATTTGGTTGTGCACTTATGAACTTGTGAACTTGTGGCACATTTGGACTTTTGGTATGAACATGTGATATATGTGAACATGTGGTTCTTATTTATGATTCATGTGATATATTTGTGGTGTTTGAATATGATTTATATTTGTGTCGCAAATGGAATAATCAAAAAAAAATTCAGCTTCTGGTTACTTTGCCAAGTGTCAGGGGTTTGACACTAGGCAAAGGGGCCACACGTGGCACACCTGGGAACAGGCTTTGCCTAGTGTCAGGAAACTGACACTAGGCAAAGTAGACAGTTTGCCTAGTGTCGGAGGCCTGACACTACGCAAAGCTTGGCATATTTGCCTAGTGTTAGCGGCCTGACACTAGGCAAAGCTTGATATATTTGCCTAGTGTCGGACGCCTGGCACTAGACAAACCTTGCATACTTTGCCGAGTGTCAGACCTCCGACACTAGGCAAAACGTCCATTACGATTTCCACCGTCAGTGGAATACTTTTGCCGAGTGGTGTCCTTGACACTAGGCAAACACTTTGCTGAGTGTTTAAGGTTTGACACTCGGCAAAGTGCTCTTTGCCTAGTCCGCCTCTGCCGACCCTTGTTTGCCTAGTGTGACACTAGGCAAACTGTTTGCCTAGTGTTTCTGAGCCTTTGCCTAGTGC